CTAGACTCTGCTTCACTTTGGAATCCTCACTGGCTCATAGCTGTCCCCTTGCTCTGGTCTTCTCTCTGCCCGATAGGATGCTCTTCCCAGTGAAACATAACCCACTGTGTAGGTTAGAGTGCATTCTAGTCATTCTCCCCACTCCCTACCCCCCCGCACGCCCCTTTTCCCTGGGAAAAGAAGTCAAGATTGATTGATCACCTGAGTTCCCTCATCAGCAGAGTCCCTGAATATAAGCTACTGACTGACTGCTGATGGCCCGGTGTGAGGATGAGGGCAGGCATCCCCAGAGGCCTTCTCCCTGGAGACGGCAGTGTTTCCCATCCTAGTGGAAAATGATTTTTTTTTAGAGGCTGCATTGAAGGACAATTTCCTTAATGAAAATTCAGTGTGGAAAAGTGAAAGGCTTCATTAGGACACAGTCTCTAAGGGAGAGGGCCCCGTACTGGTACGCATGGCAAAGGCCACAGGGGCTGGGAAAAGGGAAGTGGGCACAGGGCCACAGCAGTCATTGCCTCATCTCCTGCACACCAGGGGTGTGGGTGAGTCTGGACTAGGAGCCAGGGGGCCCAACAATCCCTGAGCTCCTTATCAGGTATTGTATCCAAACCTAGCCCCACCCATTCATTCTCCCTTTACGCCAGGGCCAAGCCTGTAGTCTCAGAAAACCCTTGGGATTTGATCTTGGTTGAACTTTCTCCTTGCAGGAGCCCCTGCAGACTGGGACTTAGGTGAGGCTGGGGTGGATCCTTAACTCAGATGGAAATTGGAATATTTCTCAGCATTCGTTTCCTAGTTCTAAGGAGATGTGGCTGGCTAAAAAAGCCCCAATTTGTTGGGCTAGCGGAAGCATCCAAGCAAGTTTTGGGGGGCCTATCCATCTCTAGTGACATCTGGGGCCTCTAGGATCTGGAGAGAACAGCCTGGCAGGAGGCAGGCCAGGCTCCTGATTTGGAGGTTCTAGGGATGTCTGGGACCTGGGCTGGCCTTAGCTGAGTGAAGGGAAGCACAGAAGCCATTTGAGAAATAGAAAAGGGCTGTTTTCCTCATTCTGCCTCTTCCATGCCCCCTGCCCTCCCTTAGAAACTAGTATGTGAACTGCAAGACAGTCACAGGCTTAGAGTGGATCCCAGCCTTCCACAGAGGGCCACGCCAGACACGGGAGAAGCAGGGAGCGAGTGGGGAGGAGGTTGGGTGTGGAAGGCAGAGTCCAGGCAGACTTGCCACCTCAGTTCTGTTTTGGTGCCGGCCATAAGAAGCCAAGATGTGGCTATTTCACCTGGAAGTCAGGGCCTCCATAGTTTACAGGCTTAGAAGGCAGAGATTCATAAATTAGTCTCACATATTAAGAGAAAATAATCAAATCAGAAGTTTCCCAAAATATACTCTTCAAAACACCAGAAACATGAGATGCTAACTGCTCCATGGGAAAAAAAAAGGGGGGGGGGGTAGAGGACAAAATTTTTGGGGAATTGTTATATACAGTAGGCATGGAAATTAATGAGAAATCATGGGCTTCTCAGGGGTTTCAAAACAGGGCAAGTAAGCAGGCAGTGCACAGCTCTGTGGGGCTAAGGAGGCAGAAATCCCCAGTTTTATTTGACCATTTTTGTGGGATAACTTTTCCACAGGACATCATTTTGAAAAACACTTGACTAATTCCCCTTTCCATCTCTAAATGTGTTTGGGAAATCATAAAACAGAGACCCACAGACCAGGGGAAGTGTGAGACTTAGAGGAAAAAGCTGGCAGAGGAAGATAGAATGAAGTCCCTCGGGCAGGAAACAGGACTTAAGATGCGAGGAGGGAGGAGGAGGAGGGCCAGAGAGAAGTCCAGACCCAAGGGCTCTTCAGGGCATGGGTGACAGTGTTGGTGGGAGCAGAGGTGCTGCGTGCCCCAGGGACAGCAGTGTGTGAGGGGATAAGGGAGCTTTGGAGATCACATTCACACACCCCTTCCATCCAGCGTTGTACCAAGTGGTACACTGATGGTCATGCTCACGAGTCGATGGTGATGATGGCTTTGGTTGGGGCACGAGAGTTTCAGGTTCTCTCAGGCCTGGGTATTTGTGCAGAGACTAGATGACAAAACCAGGAGCCCCAGACTGCAAGATGGGATTGATAATTGAGGTTTTCTATTAATCCCCCTCTATTCCATGGATTGAGGGGCCCATCCAAGCAAGAAGCTAGCTCCCTGGTGAGGTGGGGCAATGTCCGTCACCTGTTCTCACCAGTGGAGTCTGCTCTTTGGGCAGCAACATGTCACAAGGGAGTGAAAGCTTCCACAGCACACCCAAGAGGCCAAACTATTGGGGCCTCCCCTCCTCCCCAGAAACTCCAGCCCCCAGGCAAGAGCACAGTGGCCTTAATAAACGTTGGTATGTGGTTTGGGATGAAGACTGGCATCAGGCCAAGTGTTGTTGTCACAAATGTCAAGTGTCGTGAAAAAAAACAGGGCTGCCTACGTGCCCAGCTGCCCTTTGCCAACATTTGTTGTTTTTTTATGGCTCAGGATCCTCCTGCAGTTCCAAGAAGGTCAGTCTCAGAAGCCCAAAGGGCAGGCTTTTCCTATTTTAAGAAGCAGTCTCAGCTTATAGACAACACCCTCTGACTCCTTCCTTCCCTTGATGCCCGCCTTCCCTTCTAGAAAACACCACTTAGGGTGGTCGTCTCCCTCACAGAATGGTTGGGGAAGGCTTTTCACTTCCAGCTCACACAGATGGTATCAGTCAGTTTAGTGCAAAAATACACAAATACAGTAATGACATAATTATGTGATGTAAATAGTAACTCCATTCCTCTCCATGTAGGTTCTGTGTGGTAGACCACTGAACTATCCTCACCAGAGCTCAGGGGTGGTCAGGACAAAATAACAATAGTAATTAGAGGAAGTGTGTTCTGAAGACAGAGAAATCACAAAGCCCATCTCGACATCTGAATACAAAAATAGAATTCACACATAGAGGCATTTCCAGGGGTTAATAACACAGTACCATGGGGGATGGGAGCTGGTAGAAGCTGTCCATAATTTTCCAAGGGCAGGTATTTGTGTAGGATTTTGAGCTCCTTATTCCTCCATTTCTCCAGAGTAGCTTCCCCAGAGGACCTTAGCCAGAGGCAGCCACGCCTGGGTCCAGCCTACAGGCCACTGAGGGCCTGTTTGTGTCTTCCTGGCTCCCCTGGGCTGATGGGCAGAGCTAGCTGACATCCTTCTTGGGGCTATAAGTTCTCTCCTTTCCCTCTATGTCCCCTCCCCTCTTTCCTCCAGCTTCCCTTCCTGCAGTCCTCTCCTCTGCTTTTACTGCCCAGCATCGAACCCCAGGCCAAGGCTTCCCAGAACGCTGTCAGGTTCCTCTCAATACTCTGGCTCTCTGACTGCAGTCAAAGATGGGAGGAGGGCTTTCAGGTCCCAGTTGGAGCTGGTGGGGGCAGAACAGATAGAATCCAAGGCAGACTCAGTCTGGGTTTGAGTTCAATGGGACAGGAAGCCCTGTCTTTCTTTGTATCTACTTTTTTCTCCTTTAGTCATCTTGGTTTTTTAAAGGAGGGAATCTTGAACCTGATGTTCCTGTCTCCCTCCTGCCAGTTTTGTGCATCACTGCCCTGCTCATATGCAAGCTGGGAATGGTTTTTCGTTTAGTCCTCCTCTGCTGTGTTCCCAGCTCAAGAAAGACATTGCCGCCAATGACAGAACACCTGCCTACTTGCGCGGACAGAATGCATCCTGGCCACCTGAGCCTCAGCCCCAAGAACTTGCAGGACCTAGAGTCCTTAGCAGCTTCCCCCCCCCCCCCCCCCGTATTTTTTCCCTTAAAAGAAAAGAGCCTTCATAAACGAACCATCCAAGACCAACCCTTATTTAGCAGAAACCAAAGATTCCAGGGTGGGAAACATCTGGCCTCCCAGTGGCTCCTGACCTAATTGATGCCATCTTGAATCCTTGAGCATGCTTGCTCCTGGTTCCCATAGCCCATCCTAGGGCCCCACCCTCTCCCATCTCAATCCTCTGTGCGCCTGGGCACAGACCTACCCCTGGTCCTGCCCACCAGCTGCAGCACGCTCTCAGAGCTGCCACACTGCCGCCCTCCCAGGCTGTGGGTGTGCTTGCATCGCCCTCGCAAAAACAGCCCTCTCCTCCCCAGCTAGTCCACACAGTTGGGGAAGACGTTCTCCTAGAACCCATCCTCACCCTGCTCCTCAGCATGGAGACCCTGATGGGATGGGCGTCCCAGGAAACCTGGCCTGCAGCTCAGGAGCCTGCGGAAGGGAAGTCAGGCTGAGAAGCCCCTTTGGTGTAAGAAGTGGGGCCTGAGGCCCAGCCCACCCCCAGGTTGCAGGGAGTCTAGCAGCCTATGCTTCTGTGATTCTGTGATGGAGAACAGGCGGTGGACAGTGGCAAGGGATCACCAAGATATCAGGGCACAAAGTGTGTGTGTGTGTGTGTGTGTGTGTGTGTGTGTGTGTGTGGTGGGGGTCTGCTTTCTCAGCATCTCCTCTTTTCCTCCCCAGCTCAGTCAGTATAGGTCTAACCATTGCCAGCTTCGAGGCAATGTCCACCCTCCTCTGGCTGCCTAAGGGCACCCTGCCAGTACCTCCTCAGAGGCACCCTCACGCCTACTCTAAGGGTTACTCAGAATGGCCTTTGTTCTGCAGCTGGGAAAGAACCACCCAGCCCTCTTGCCTCTGGGCACAACCGGAAATGCACTCTGGGGACCACCTCTGAGGACAAATAGCAGGCCCACTGGGGTTGCCAGTGGCCAGAGGTTGCTAGCTCCGTCTGGAACTCAGGGCAGAAAGGTGCAGGGAACAAACACAGGGTCCCTCCATCAGGCCCCCAGCCTTTCCTGAAACGGCCTGGTAGGGGTTTGGGGGGCACAGACTCCCATCTCTAAGAGGTGATCAAGCCTTCTGACCCCCTTGGCCCTTGCTGGGTGGGTGGGAGGCACTGGGGGCTGATTCTGGGCCACTCGGCCCATCCCAACCACCCCCACCTCCGCCTTCTATGTGGCCTCCACCTCCCGGGGTGTCCGATTCCGCTCGGCCTGCACCCGGCTCTTCACCTTCTTGCCCATCTCCAGCCCTGCCCAGCTCTTGCCCTTGGCCTGCTTGCCCCGGCTCCGCGAGGAGCACCACATGCGCTCACAGTACTCATCCACCCGGGGCAAGTTGGCGAAGCCGATGAGCTGCAGGATGTCCTTGTACCAGGCCTTGCGGGGGGTGGAGGCCAGGCCTCCCGGGGCCGGGGGCTCCTCTGGCCTCTGCCCCCTGTGGAACAGGCTGTTGAGCTGCGCAGCCGGGATCACCTCCAGAGCCAGGCGGGCCACAGTCTGGGAGAAGCCGTGCTCCAGGGTAGTGCAGCTGTAGGTGCCCTCATCCAGGCGGCTGAGCCTGCGGATCAGCAGCCCCTGCTCCGTCTGCACGACTCGCTCATCCGTCTTCACCTGCTGGGCACCAGGAGGGTGTGAGGGGCCATGGAGCAGGGCACGCCCCATCAGCTTCTCTGCACCCCGCTTTTCCAGGTGGGCACGCCCCTGTCCCTTCTCCCCTTCCCAGGGAGGGGCGAGCAGCTCAGCAGGCTCAGACTCCTGGGGACTAAGCTAATGGCAGGCAGGGCTTCACCTTCCCGTAACCCAGGCCATGGCCTGGGAAGGGGCTTTTCCAAAATCTGACTGGTTTCTCCCTAGTCAAAGCTCTGGGGCACCTGTCTGGGGCCTGGGGGTGGGCACTGGCACATTCCCAGTGAACAGAGAAGGTAAGAGGGTATATATGGGCTTTTACTCAGGGGGTATGTAACCCCAGGTCTAGAATCCCCTTCACTCTACCCGGTCTGCATTGTTCGCTTCCCCCACAGCGCAGGGCCCACAGCCCCAGCCAGCGTGGGCCAAGCGCCCTCACAGTGTGGGAGGCGGGAGTGCCGTTCTGACCCAGCAGGTCTCTGGCCAGCTGCTGTCTGGGCTTTAGTCTGTGCGATTGGGTGTTGAAGCCGGCCTGGCCTGCTTGGGCAGTTAGTGCTGTGTAATTGCATCCCGTTGCTCCCCTGGCCTGGCCTTGGGGGAGTCTCTCAGTGCCTAGCCCAACAGCTGGCCAAGGCTGGCCTTCCCCAGTCCCCCAGCTGAAGGAGATCCCTCCTGTGACCAACCCGCTCCCTCCCTCTCTCCCTCCCTGCCTGCCTGTGGGAGCTCTGGGAATTGTTTCTCACCCTGCCCTACCCACGCCCATCCTCAGGCCCCACACTGAAGCCATCTCTGGGGTTGACAGAACTTTCCAGATGAGGGTGGAGAGCCTGGACAGACTGTTGGACTCCAGAAAGGAAGTGTGGGGCCAGGCAGTGGGGGGGGGGGGGGGAGGGTAAGGGCCAGTGGCCAGGGGCACAAACCTGGGGCAGAGGAGGACCAAGAGCCCCTGGGGGAAAGACCCCTTCAAAGATGAGCCATATGGGTAAGCCTGGGACTTCCTGAGCAGCCCAGACCCCCCTCCCTCTCTCCCATCTCTGCTACCCACCCACCCCTCAGAGCTCAGCTCAGTGCCTTGGGAGCTGGTGGGCTCCCTGCCGCTGGAGGAGTCCAGGCACATCTGGCTGGGCATTTCCAGATGGCAGGAGACAGCACCCCATTCCAGGAACCCAGGGGCCTTACAGCACCGTTTTCTTCCATTGAACTTGGCATGTTCCTCTCAGAACCCCTTCCTAGGACTCAGGACTTGGGGTTCAGGGAGAGATGGGACCGAAGGACACAAGCAAACTGGGGCAGGGTCCTCACTCACCTGGTCGGGCCCCTGGTCCCCCGGCCTCTGCAGGAACCAGCGCACAGCCGCCTGGGGAGACTTGGGCAGGCACTCCAGGAAGGTGCTGTTGTGCTCCGTGCCGAAGACCGTGGTGGTGGCCACCGGTCCTGCAGCCTTCTCTGAAGGGAAGAGGTGGCTCGTCTCAGGGGCTGTCCACGAGCCCCCGCCAGTGTTCCAGGGACCTCAGGGTCCATCAGTGCCCAAGCCAGTCTCTCTGTCCAAAGACCCCCACCCCCGTACGGTGATGGAGCCTCTCAGGTGGGGAAACTGAGGGCTGTCACAAAAGGACAAGTCTGAGGCCCCACCTCCCCAGGGTTGAGCCCAGGCCACGGGGTAATTAGCTGCCACTCACCTCCCTGGCTCTGGCCCAGGCACTGCAGGGCAGGGTTGCCATGCCGGATGTCCTGCCGGCGGAACCGGCGCTTGCTGGTGCCAGGCCGGTAGCGGGTGCAGGAAGCACCGTCCCAGGCGCAGTACGGGTCCCGGGCCAGGCAGCACTCTGCGCAGGCACTGCCGTAGGTTTCGCACTGGTGCAGCTTCAGCCGGGCCACGCCCAGCCGCGAGCCCACGTACAGCATTTGCTGGGGAGGGACCCAAGCAGAGCCCACGGTGAGCCCGGGCTTTCCAGAAGCTGCTCGGCTCCCAGCCCCCTCTGGTTTCCTGAGGTCCACGCCATTTCCAAGCAGAACCACGGTGTGCCCCAGACCCTGCGCTAGGACATGTAGAGGGGGTGGGCAGACCTGGGGTCCTCCAAGGGGCTTCACCTCGTCTCTACCCCAATGGCCTTTTCCTGACTTGCCTCTCGCCTTAGAGGTGCACTCTGCTTTATGCAATCCCAGGACCACCGTCAGGACCTCCCCAAAGATAAACCGGACAGATAAACGGGGGAAGACGGTAGGTGTCACTTGTGAAAGGACACAGCTGTCCTCCTCTAAGAAGTGGCTCCCCTTCCTGGCTTGATTTCAAATCTGGATTTTGTTTTCCCCTGAGGAGCCAGTGTGTGTGGATCTCCCCTTATCTGAACAGCCTCCCTTCCTCAGGGCCTCCCACTGCCCCTGGCATGGGAATGGCAGCTCTGCGGGCTGGGGCGGGGAGGAAGGCGGCAGCTGCTCTCACCCTTTTCACGGAGATCTCCATCTCAGTGATGGCTGTCGGCACCTGAGGAAGCAGCAGAGTCTCAGGGGCAGGTGTTGGAGAGCCCTCCATGCACCCCGCTCTCAGCCTCCCTCAGCCCCTGGGTGGGAGCCCCCACTCCCAGCCCCGGTCAGTCATGCCCTGGCTACGAAGGCCAGACAGTCTTTCCCAGAGGTCAGGTTACAAGAAAGGTCCCCTCACCCTGGCTGGCCTCCAAGTAGGAGTAGGAGGCTTGGCTCAAAGCACACATCTCCAGTGTCCCCTCCCAGGCCCTGTTCCCAGCCGTGAAGCAGCTGTCTCAAATCGCCATCCCCTGCTGGGAGGCGCGGTAGTGCCCCTGTCTGATTCTGCAGAGGGGCCGACAGAGCCTCATGGGCACTTGGGGTCTCAGCCACCCCCCTCACAGTGACTTGTGCCTACCAGGGCTCTGTCCAGGGGTGCTCACCTTGGCCATCCCTCTCTGGGCCCCCCAACTTTCAGCTCACACACTGCATCTCCAGGCCCCTCGGCCACTGAGAAGCATCAGCAAGGCCTCTGCAGTGGGGGTGCCATCCCTTCCATTCCCGCTGGCTGCACGCTCAGGCAAGACAGCCCATCTCCCTCCTGTGCTTTGCTCCTGCTTCCCTGTAGCCAGGACTGGACCAGGGACCCTCCCATCCGCCCCTCCCATCCGCCCCTCCCCACTCACCTTAAACACCTGGAGCTCCTCCAGAACCACCTCCTCAGGCTCAGCTGAGTCCCCAGCCTGGAGGGCCATGACCTTGAGCACCGAGCCTGAGTCTGAGATGGGGGAGAAGGGGTCAGGAGGAGAGGAAGGAGCAGCCCGGGCACCCGCACACTCCCCAGTCCGGCCGCCTTACCCAGCCCACCCACCAGTTCCCAGGAAGATGACATCGTAGGTCCCGTCCTCCGCTTCCACGCGGTCCACCGCGATCTGGCGCAGCTGCTGGGCCAGGTGGGTTTTGACGAGGACGGGGCGGCCCCGCCGAGGCCGCACGGGCCGGAACATGAGTGGGTGGGCCCGGGCAAACTGCAGCACCTCGTCCGGGTAGTCCTTGGTGCTGCCAAAGGGTCGCCCAGGCTGCGCCGTCATCTTGCTGGGGCACTGTGGCAGCAACAGAGGGGACACCTGGGATCCTGGCATCACACTTCCCCACCCAGCCTGTCCCATGCCCCACTGTCTGGGCATGCCGACCTCCCAGGACTGCTCCCGCCTGTGAGAGGCTCCGTAAGGCGGTCAGGGCTCCCTGCCACCCCTCGCCTGACCACCCCTCCTCGGGAGCCTGGCTTCCAGCTGCGATGGAGCTGCGTGCAGACACAATGCCATCCCCTGGCATCTCTGCCCTGCCCTGTCCCCCATGGTACTCACCATGCCAGGGCGGGGGAAGGGCACCTTGCCCCCATAAGGCCCCCACTGGTGCTGGGGACCATCTTGGTGGGCAAAGGGCCCCTTGAAGACCTCCCAGATGTCCTCCATGTGGTACAGGCAGACGGCAAAGCCCTGGAACACAGCGCTGCCGAGGGCAGGCAGGGGCAGTCAGGCCAGGCGGCCGGCGGCGGGGAGGGCGGCCGGCTCCGTGGGCAGGGCGGAGGGCGACAGGGCCTGCAGCACCCCCGGGCAGAGGTAAAGAGAGGGAAGCAGAAGATGCAGCCAGTCACCCAGTCAGGGACGGAGACGGGGAGCCACGGCAAAGCTGGGAGATGAAGGTAGAAGGGCGGCAGAGGAGCCGGTAGGAGCCCAGGCCGGGGCGGGGAGGGGAGGCGGTGCCCACCTGACCGTGCTGAAGAGTGCGTACACCTCCAGGCTCTTCCCCGCCTTGGACCATAGCAAGAACACATCCTCTGGGAGACAGAAGGCCACGGCCATTGGCCCCCACTGGCTGGCTCTTCCCCCCTTCCCTGCCCCACCCAGGCCTCCCCTGGCCCTGCCCTTACCCAGCTGGTCAAAGTGGGTCTCAGCACCGCCGGGCCCGGGCACCGAGCAGACCAGCCTGGCCTTGAGGAAGGTGCTCCACTTGTTCACCAGCACCCGCTGGCCGCCGGCGTCGTTCTGCGGTCAGAGGCGGGGTCAGCCTCGGCCCAGAGGCCGGCCCTGCCCCCTCGTCCACCCTCACCCTCGGGGCGGGGGCAGGGGCGTGGGCTTCACACCGCGCCTCAGTTTCCCTTCCCTGAGGGCGGGGAAGAGGCCGTGCAGGATGGACGTCCCGCCCTCACCACGCAGACGCGGCCCACGCGGCTGACGGTGACGTGGCCGGGGCCGCCCTCGGGCGAAGGCACGGTCTCCGAGAAGAAGAAGTACACCTTGTCGTCGTTCCGGTCGGAGTTGTCCGCGATCCGGGCCGCCATCACAAACCGGGGGTCTGGGTGGTGGGGGGGGACAGGTGAGGCTGGCGGGGAGCCTCGTGGGGAAGACGGGTGGCTGAGCCCAGTGGGGAGGGGCAGGGACTGGCCCCCTGGAGGCCGGAGTCTCGGGAGGCACAGGGGGGCGGGCTGCCCCTCCTGCCTCCGTCCCAACACCAGCTCTCCTGCCCCCTCCCTGCCCAGCTGGCGCCCTCCCTGGCCAGCCTCGCCCTCCGCAGGCCCCAGGCTCACCGTGCAGGAGGTTCTGGTCAGAGTCCGAACGCAAGGCCGGCCGGGCGCCCCCACTCCGGAAGATCATGGCCTCGCGCCCCAGGAAGTCGGCAGTGAGGCCCGTGTACAGCTCCCCACCTGGGGGGGGGGGGTGGCAGAGTCAGGGCAAGAGGGCCCAGCCGCCATCCCTTCCCAAGGACGGCAGCCGGCTCCCACCCTCCCTGTGCCCACCCAGACCTGAGCGTCACCCACCTACAAAGGTGCTGGCGAAGGGACGGCTGGGCTCGTGCGGGCACCGCCCCCGCCCGCTCTCCACGCTGTGGGCCTCCAGGTGGAGCACATGCTGGGGAGAGGGGGGCAGGTGTCACCTGGGAAAGGAGTACCAGCCCCCCAGCCCCCCACGGGCAGCGGCCATCACTCATCGCGTGCAGCTGGGGAGTGGGGGGGGAGGGGGCGGGGTGAAGCCACCCTCAGTGCAGGGCCTTGCCAGTGCGGTCACCTCTGGCACAAAGGCGCCTTTCAGGCCTCTGAACCTCTGCCCTCGCCCGGGCTCACGGGCGGGTTCAGCTGCCTGGAGGAATGTCCCTGCCTCCCAGGCCCCCGGGGGCCGGCCGAGGCTCACCTCCCCGCGGTGCCCCACGGCGATGAGGGCGCAGGAGGGGTGGAAGGCCCCGGTGCCGCACGCCAGCAGGTGGGTCCTGTTGTGGGGCTGCAGCACCCGCACGAAGTTGGCACACTCCACCTGGCGGGAGAGGAGGAGCTGAGGGGCTGCTCCCGTCTCCTCAGGCCCAAGCTGGGGCCCTGCCTGGCGGGTCAGCCCTGGGGGTCTATGGTGACATCTGTTTGCTTTTGAATCCTCCCCGGAGAGTATTTTCCCATGGATGTTTAGAGAGAGTGGGAGAGAGAGGGAAAGACAGAGAGAAACATGGATGTGAGAGAGACACATCGATTGGTTGCCTCCTACATGCACCCTGGCCAGGGCCCGGGCCAGGGAGGAGCCTGCAACCGAGGTACATGCCCTTGTTCAGAATCGAACCCAGGATCCTTTCAGGCCGATGCTCTATCGGCTACGATGACATTCTTCCTGGACCTTCAAGAGCCCTCCGTGTCTGTTTCAATGACCCGGCCCAGGCGGCTGCAGGAGGGGCCACAGGCCCCCTGGGTGTGGGTCAGGGCTGAGAGCAGTCACTCCCGAGGGCACTCACCACAGGGTCTCGTCCCTTTCGAACACACTCCTCCCTCTGTCCTGGCTGCGGCGGCCACAGCACCTGGAACACAGCCTGGCTGACCCCCAAACTCACCAAAGCCTCAGTTTCCCCATCCAGCCCCCCATCCAGAGTTGCCTAGCTCCCAGACAGATCCTCTCCCCGGTCAGCCCAGCTCACCTCCCGGGGGTCTGCCCAAGGCTGGTCCAGCTGCAGGGAGTAGATGGCATCGCGGCCCCCCAGAAAGAGGCGGTCTCGGTACTCATCCAGGTACATGGCCCGGAGGTCCAGGGAGCCCCGAGGACCCAGGAAGATGGCGGAGCGGTTGGCAGACAGGAGTTCTGCAGGGGAGCAAGGGAGGGGTGAGGACGCCTCCGTCAGGGCGTGGAGGCGGAGGGTCCCAGCTGTGCATTCGCCCCACACACACTCACATCTGGAAAATGTTTCCAAACACAGGGCTGCCAGGAGGGCTTCTGGGAAATGGCTCCTGGGGGTGAGTGGGATAGGGGGCTCTGAACCCCCACCCAGCCCAGCCCACCCAGGACCAACTCCTACCCCTCCTTGCCTTAGCCCCAGATCTTCCAGTTAACATCTCCTTCCCTGTGACCCATCTGGGTTCTGTGCAGACCCCGCTGTGTAGACATTTATAGCAAGCTGGAGGAAGGGTGGTGAGTGTGAGCTGTGCACAGGCGGACAGGCAGGGGACAGTGTTCCCAGCAGAGGGGACTCCTGGAAAAGGCCAGGGGTGGCCAGGCTGCAGGCTCTGGTCCGGGATGTGGCTAAAGAGGATTTTTCTCCCCCAATGACCCTGCCCACCCAGCCCTAGGTGTGGGGAGGCTGTCTGGGGATGCTGGTCCTAGGAGTCAAGGACCCTTGGCCTTGGACGTGGAGGAGATGGGTGGGTGAGGGGCAGACAAGATGAATGGGAAGGGGTCTTGGCCACCCTTGAGAAGGCCAAGTGCCCTATGCCTGCCCGTCCTTGGCCCAGCTCTCATCCCACCCCCAAATCCAGCCTCTTCCAGGAAGCCCTCCATGGCTGACAGTACTTTGGAGGGGATCTGCCTTCTTTTACTTTTCGTATTGACTTTCTTCCAAAACATATCTCCAAGGGCAGGACTAAGTTCTCCCTCCAGACCCGATATTCAGACTCTCCAGAGTGAGCCACATCTTCCCCCTCATCCTCTCCAGAGCCTGAGTCTCCCCCCTCGTTTTATTTTGGGGGTTTCCCCCTTAGACCGACAGATTCCCAGAGAAAGGTGATCACCCCGCTCTCCGGCTTCCCTAAGAAGAATCGGTGGAGAGCCTGTGTCTCAGGAGCCTTTGCTGTGTACCGTCTACAGATTCCAAGGAGCCTGTGCCAGCCGCAGCACCACGCCCCAGGTTAGGTCTGTGGCCGAACCTCCTGGGCTGGGACGGAGAGGGAGGAGGAAGGCCAGCGCTGGGGAGTGGTCTGCAAGAGGCAGGTGGGTGAGGGGGAGGCTGTGGGGACAAGGAAAGGGCCCCCATTGGGGGAGGAGAGGGACAGGATGCTGCTCTCTCACTGTCTGCTCTGAGCAAGGAGCCCCCACCCAGTACAGACAGACCCTCCAGACCTGCCCTGTCTGCCCCTCCCGGTCTCTCTCTGCCCATCTCCACTGAGGTCTCTCAGGGTCTCCATTCATCTCTCTCATGTTTTCAAAGGTCCCCTCGGCTTCTCCCTTGAGTGTGTCTGTCCCCGCCGCCTCCACCTTAGCCATGCCTCCAGAGCTGTCTCTCTCCCCCCGCCTGCCTCTTCCCAGTGCCTGCCCCTGGCAGCAGCCAGAAGGACCGCGAAGTCCTTCCCGCTGGCTGTGCAGGGAACGACTGCATCCCTCCGGCTGGCAGGACAGACTGCCCGGCCGGCTGGGGCGCCCACAGCTGGGGGCGCTGCAGGGTCCCGGGTTCCCACCACCATGCACATGGACAGGATGTGCAGTCCGTACCTCGGTAGGAGAGCCGCAGGCGGGGCATGCTGGCGCTGGGGCTGGGGCTGCCCCTGAGGAACAGGAGACTCCCCAGGAGGCAGCAGACGGCCCAGGCCGAGGAGGCCATGCTGGGGACCGGGGCACCTCGCTGCCTGTGGAGCCACCCTCCGGTCCCACTGCTGGTTGTAGTCTGCTCTCTTGCCGCCAGCCTGCCACTTATAAGGCACTGGCTCCGCCCTGTCCAGGGCCAGGAAGCTGGAGAAGGAGGAGGAGAGGGAGCGGGAGGAAGAGGAGGAGGAGGAGGGGGAGGAGGAGGGAGGAAGGGGTGAGTGCCTGCCATGCACCTGCTGTGGCTCCCTCCACCCCGATGACCCTGAAGCCTCTACCAGATGGGTCGGTTCCCGGGCTCCCCATTGGGGAGACTCACCCAGCTGTGGGTAGTTTACACAGAAACGCCCACAAACCCAAGTCTCCAGGCTCTACCAAGAGGTCACGAGGCAGAGGAGCTGGAAAAGAGGGCAGGAGTCAGATGGGAGGTTGGTGGTCTGGTGAGGTCTGGTGGGACTCTCTGCTCTCTGCCCCTCCAGCGCCTGTGCAGAGAGCCCTCCCCCACAAACAGACTCTAGGCCCCATTCATGTTCCCAGCAGCCCCCTGAAGCCTGGGCTCAGCCCCCCTAAGGTACCTGTGTGCGGGGAGAAGGCCATTCAGTGGGGTCAGGAAACTTGGGGCATCAGAGAGGGGAGGACCTGGCCCAGGCCACAGGGCAGGCTGAAATGTGCCCACCAGCCCTGCCCCTTCCTGGTTGGTGTCCTCTTTTGCTTTGGTGACTCCTGGGGGTGGCACTTGGAGGCCCCATCTCATCCCTGGAAGGTAAGCATGTCAGGCCCCTTAAGCATGAGAAGGACCCAAGGACCTTGAACCCTGTCTCCCTGTCCCCACCGCCCCCTGACATATGCATATCTCCTCGCAGGGGGTCAGGGGCCCTCAGGGAGGCCGGACAGCCCTCAGACCACCCACCTCTGACTATGGAGAATGGGGTGGGGCCTTGGCCCTTCCCTCACCGGGTCTCTGTCTCCTCCTGCCCCCTTGGGTGCAACAGACCATCTGCTTGTGCGTGGGCTGCCATGATGGTGATTGTGTCCTGGTCCCTCTGAGAGGTGAAGCCCTCTGCCTTCCTCTCCCTGGAGAGCTGTTTCGGGCACAACCCGGGGTGGGGGCCGCTATCTGGCTGGAGAAGGAGCCAGGGGGCCTCGCCGCCAGCCTGTGGCCATCGCTTTGGGCAGCAGGCCCAACAGCTCTCCCTCCTGCCAGCTCGCCATGGGGTGGGGCCTCAGCTCAGCCAGGCTCCCCGCTGAGGCTGCAGGGGGCCTGGATCTACTGGGGCCCGAGGTCAGGGCACCACACTCTGCACAGCCTGGCACAGGGGCGGGGAGCCTGAAACCTAAGGTTAATTTTCTGTGTGGCCTCAGGCAGGTCCTCTCCCTCTCTGAGCCTCGGATTCCCAATCTGGGAAGAAGGTAAGGGCTCTTCTGTAAAGGCCCCTGTTTGCAAGCTGCCGATGAGAAATAGACCCAAAGGTACCCCTGATTGATTGAGTCCATGGGCCCAGCCACATACACCTTGTGCCATCTAATGGACAAAGTGGGAACTGCGGGGTGTCCCAACACTGCTCGCTGTGTCAGGGGCTGGGCAGGGCAGCGGGGCCACCCAGAAGAAACGACCGCCTCCTGGGGCAGCAGGCAGTAGTCAGGCAGTCACAACACGAAGAGCAGGGGCAGTGAGAGACATTGCACTGCAGGGGCAGATGGCTCCTAGTGAGGGAATCAAGGCGGCTTCATGGAGGAAGCACTCTCCAGGCAAGGGATGACCCAGCCCAGAAGAGATGGAGAGACGTGAAGGAAGCACAATAGTCAGAACGAGGTGATCCATGTAGAGGGGCTCAATGCCGTGTGCTGGTGGGAGCCTGGGAGACCCTGGCTGCATACATGGGTGATGTGTGTTCACGCCCCAGAGGCACCAGGAAGGTAGGAGAGTGTCACAGCCCAGCCTCTCCCAGCGAGAATTCTGAGGGTGGGGGTGCTCAGAAGGAAGGGATGTCTCATTCGCTCCCCCACCAACCTCATTCTGGAACAGGGACCCTGGGGCAATCCCCTAGAGATCCCTCCCTGATGACCCCTTTCTTTAAAAAAAAAAAAAAATATATATATATATATATATATATGTATATATATATGTATATATATATATATATATTGATTTTGTACAGAAAGGAAGGGAGCGAGATAGAGAGTTAGAAACATCGATGAGAGAGAGTCATCGATCAGCTGCCTCTTGCACATCCCCTACTGGGGATATGCCCACAACCAAGGTACATGGCCTTGACCGGAATCGAACCCGGGACCTTTCAGTCCCCGAGCCGACGCTCTATCCATTGAGCCAAACCGGTTTCGGCTGATGACCCCTTTCTTAAGGCACCAGCCCCCCCAGCCCCACCCATGCATCCTCTTTGTCGCTGGCCCAGTCACCCTCCTGTTTCAGTCATGGAGGGCTTACCTTGGGGTGTCCCTCTTCTCCTTCACATCCATCAGCCTTCCACATGCTTCAGGTGCCCCCTGGCCTTCTCTTCTCCCCACCTCAGCCACCCGTCCTGCAAGTCACCACTAATAAGGATGTGACCTTCTGTACCTCCATTCAAAACATCCCTTCCCCTGGACACCCCTCCTGCACTCAGTGTCCCCACTGCCATGATTCTTCCCACAGTGCCTGGAGCCTCCTTTCTCTTTGCCCAGCGTGGATCGAGGCCCAGTGCTATCCTCAGACCCTGTACACCCCCAGAGGCCTGTAGCCACTCGCCTCCTACAGCCCTGCCTGGGTCTTGCAACACCCCTTTCACAATTCCCATCAGTGGACAGGCCATTTCCTGATCTCCCCCCTTCCCCCTGCTTCCCTTAAATGAGCTTCCCTGGACTCACACTCCCCTAGTTCCCGCCCATTTCTGTCCCCTGAGTGCTTGCAAAACGTCATTAGTGTTGTCCTCGCGCTCCATCCACTGCTCCAGTGAAACCCTCGTGTCCAGGTGGCCTCGGCCTCGGGAGCCTCCAAGTCCCCCAAGGAAGCGATTCTGTGCTTCCTTCTTCCCCTCCCGGCTCTTGGGGCTCCTCCCTCACCCAGAGTCTCTCCCACACCATCGGCCACGTCTCCTCCCCCAGACCGCCCATGTGGGATGGATGCCTGGTGCCCTCCTGGGCCACCGCTCTCCACACACCCTCTCCCCGGGGCCTCCGCCAGGACCACGGCTGGGAAAGTGCTTCTCACTCTGATGACACCTGAGCTTATAGCTCTGCTCTGTCCTCTCGCTTATCTCCGGGGTCCCGTTCCAGAGGCAACTCCACTGTGACATGGACCAAACACGCTCCATCTCCCCGTGGTCATCCTGCCAGAAATGCAGAACCGGACGCTGGTCCCATGGAAACCCCAGGCAAACCCAAATCGTGAGACTCTACAAAACAACTGGCCTTTCCGCTTCAAGTGTCAGGGTCATAGAAGATGAAGAAAGGCTGAGAAACTGACCCAGATTCGAGGAGAGTAGGTGGACGGGATGACAAGACACAGTGTGTGATCCTGGTTTAGATCCTGGTCTAGGAAGAGAACTCCAGTAGGGTAACTGACAGTGTGAGGGAGAGGGGCGGATGAGTTAGTAGAAGCCTTGTTTGCTCATTGTCCTGTGGCTGTTTAACATTTGGGATCAGCTGCTTTGGCTCAGTGGATAGAGCATCGGCCTGTGGACTGAAGGATCCTGTATTCGATTCTAATCAGGAGTACATGCCCAGGTTGTGGGCTAGATTTTCAGTAGGGGGTGTGCAGGGGCAGCCAATCAATGATTCTCTCTCATCATTGATGTTCCTATCTCTCTCTCTCTCTCTCCCTCTCCCGTCCTCTCTGAAATAAATAAAAATACATTAAAATTATGTAAAAAAAAAAAATCTAAAGGAAAAAAGGAACCTCCACTTTTCAACACCCCATCACCAAGAACCTGTGCTCTCTCAGGCTTCCATCTCTCAGGAAACAGCAGCTTCATCCCATTTTTTTTTTAATTTAAAAACATTTTATTGAGTTTTTACAGAGAGGAAGGGAGAGAGAGAGAGTTAGAAACATTTATGAGAGCCGAAGCCGGTTTGGCTCAGTGGTAGAGAATCAGTCTGCGGACTGAAAGATCCCGGGTTCGATTCCGGTCAAGGGCATGTACATTGGTTGCGGGCACATCCCCGGTAAAGGGTGTGCAAGAGGCAGCTGGTCGATGTTTCTCTCTCATTGACGTTTCTAGCTCTCTATCTCTCTCCCTTCCTCTCTGTAAAAAATCAATAAAATATATATATTTTTTAAAAGAAACATTTAAGAGAGAGAAACATCAATCAGCTGCCTCCTGCACACTCCCCACTGAGGATATGCACACAACCAAGGTACATGCCCTTAACCAGAATCGAACCTGGGACCCCTGAGTCTGCAGGCCGATGCTCTATCCACTGAGCCAAACCGATCAAGGCAGCAGCTTCGTCCTTAACTCCCTACTCTCTCACACCTCACATTCAGTCCTTCCACTTCCAAAATGTGCCCTGAGTCTGTGCACCTCTCTCTACCTTTTTGGTCCTGCTGTGCTGAGCCACCTGGCCTTCTCACCTCTGTGCTCAGCCCAACACTGTCTTTCTGCTCCTGAGATGCTCCAGTCTCTCCCCAGCCTTCCTACGGGGTTCCTTAGGCCTCAGCTCAGTGCCACCTCCTCCAGAAAGCCCTCCTGGACCACACTCCCCATGGCCACTGCAATCCTCATTCCAGCACAAGGCTGTTTCCTCACTGCCTATGTCTTGCTGAGGTGGCTATAAATTCCACACCATTAGGGACGGCCTCTCTCTGAAGCGTCCCAGTATCCAGTGTCAGGCACATGGTAGGGGTGACTAAACCATGGAATGGTGCCCTGATGGGTGGTGCTGCCCTCTGTAACCCCGCCTCCTCTCCTGAGATGTCATTCCTGGGTACACGTGTAGGTCCTTGAGCTCTCCAGCTCCCAAGGGCAGGCGTGAGGGAACCCCTTTTCTTTCCCTCCAGGTATCTGCAAGGTCGCCTGCCAGCTCTGGCCTCCCCTGGAGGCATCTCCAGAATCCCAAGCCCGCCTCTGGAATGCGGGGCCTGTCTGGGGAATGTCAGGGCTGGGGCGCAGGTGGAGAGGCTGTGGAGGGACTGGGCGGAGCAAGGACAGCTGCTGGCATTCTGGCTGGAGCCCAGACATCATGGCAGCTGTCCCTCCTGCAGGCACGGCAGCTCACACCTCCACTTCTCTGCAGCACCCCTTCCCAAGACCAGTGTCACTCTCTGGCCGCAGCTCTGGCCTGGGCACCCCCCCTGAGAGCCACCAGGCCTTGAGCCTCCACTCCCTGTTGGGAGGGAAAATGGGTTCCTGGAGCCTCTGAAGTTCGAGAAAGGTGGAAATGAGTCCCACACAACCTGGCCCATCAAACAGAGCCCTCCCCGGGAGGGTGACCTTGATAGGCCCCTGTGCCTCGCTGGGCCCAGGTCCTCACCTGTCACACGGGTGAGGGCAGGTTCGCCCCCTTGGTCCCTGGGAGTCAGTGGTGGCCAGAGGGAAATCCAAGTGAGTGACAGATGGGCCCACTGGGCCCCACAGCGCCCTCTTCTCCCCGACCAGAGCCGAGATGGAGCTTGGGCTGCTGTGCCGAGGGGCACCCCGGGCTTAGCTGGGTGCTGCAGGGAGTTATTCGTCCCTCCAGATACAGGGCCCCCAGCTGCCCAGGAGCTGGTGAAATGCAGGTGCCCCAGCCACCACAAACTCCAGATGCTGAGTCGCTGGAAGCAGCCTGGGCATCAGTCGTTACAGAAAGGAGGCAGCGGGGTCCAGAGCAAGCTAGTCTCCAATCCAACCTACCCTTCCTGCAGAAGGCAGTGTGCACGGGGAGGCTGGAGCATGGGCCCTGGGATAGGGAAGGAAGTGGTCCTCAGGGCAGGAGTAACCACTGGCCGGGGAAATGTCCACAGACCCCCTCCCCCCCAAAGGAAAGCAGACACCAGGCCTCCAGGGAGCAGGGCTTTATTTGTATTCCCCAGGACAGGGCTGGGGAGGGAGCCAGGGAGGGCCCTCGGTCAAGGACAGGACCAGGATCACATCGTGGGGGCCCCCGGCCCCCTGCTCCGCCCCAGGGCCCAGCAGGAGTTGGAAGGTGGTACTGCAGCTCCGGGCGAAGGCCGGCATCTACTCCACCCCCTTCATGAACTCCAGGAATTCTGCGGGGAGAAGGGCAGGGGTGGGTCGGAGGTGGGGGCGGGCGGGGTGTGGGCAGCGGGAGATCCAGCGCACCCCGCCTCCCCTCACCGTCATAGTCGATGCGGCCGTCGTTGTTCTTGTCGCCGTCCTTCATGAGCTCCTCGATGTCGTCCTCTGTGATGGTCTCGCCCGTCGCCTGGAGCATCACCTTCAGCTCGTCCAGGTCAATGTAGCCATCCGCGTTCCTGCGGGGAGTGGGGGCGAGGGAGGTCTCAGGCATCTGGCGGGGGCCAAGGGGGGCAAGAGGCAGCCCCACCCGCGACCCGAGACAGTGGGGGGGGGGCAGGTGGAGCAGGGCCGCTGGGAGATAAGACCTCCCGCTCCCTTGCTGCACAGAACGGGAGACTGAGACCCGGAGGCCATACCGCTGTCCCTTTCCCCGGCTCTGCTAGAGTGGGGGTCAGAGGTCAAGGGTCACACGCTTACTTGTCAAACATGCGGAAGAGATCAGACAGCTCCTCCTCCGACTTCCCTTTACTGTCATCCTTCATGCACCGGACCATCATGACCAGGAACTCCTCGAAGTCTACTGTGCCGCTCCCTGAGGGGCGGGAGGCACGGCCATGAGCGAGGAATCGTCAGGATGGCTGGCACAGTCACTGATTGATCCTAGGCCCTGGGGTCCTCACTGCAGCCACCCATCAACTCCGTTCTACCCATTTTATATATGAGACGACTGAGGCTCAGAGACGAACCAGCTCCTTCAAGAGCACAGAGCAGTGAGTGGCAGGGCGGGGATTCGGATCCCCCGTGGCCTGCGGTGCTAAGGGTCGGGGGCCCGGAGGGGCAGAAGGGCTTACCATCCTCGTCCACCTCATCGATCATCTCCTGCAGCTCCTCAGGGGTGGGGTTCTGGCCCAGCATCCTCATCACCTTGCCCAGCTCCTTGGTGCTGATGCAGCCGTCCTCGGCGCCCAGCACAAAGATGTCAAAGGCCGCTTTGAACTCTGTGTGTCCGACGGGGGACGGGCAGTGGGACGGTCAGGGCGCAGCAGCCAGGACCCCAGATGGCCAGACCCCTGGGGTCACTGACCAACCGGCCCACGTCCCTCTGAGACCCCGAAGGTCACAGCAAGAGAGAGACTCCAGCATCGGAGCTCCAGCCTGGGGTCCTCACACTCCCCGAGCCCAGCCCTGGGGTCTCCCCGCAGGTACGTTGGGGAACTCACCATTTTTCTGCTCTTCTGTCAGCTGCTCTACCTGGAGAGGAAAAGGGTCTCAGGATTCGGGCTCAGGCTCTAGCTGCTGGTGAGGAAACCAATCCATCTCACAGGTGGGACAAGGGGAGCCAGAAAGGCAGGCCCTTCCTGGGTCACTGAGACCTCGGTCCTTCTTTCCTGACCCCCCAAGCCTTCTGGGAAACCCAGCAGGGCCAGGGTGGCAGGTGGGCACCCCCTTCCGGGCCAAGGTGACCCTGAGTAACAATAGTCCATGACCACCCAATGCCTGGCTGACACCTAAGCTGGGTGGCCGAGGGACAGCTGTCCCTCAGGTTGGGACAATAAAACCAGGGTGGGGGTAGGTAAAGCCGCTCACTGTAACCTGACCAGAGTGGCCACTGGGCTATTTTTAACGGGGGACAAAGTTAAACCTGGTGATTGTTCTGGGGACTCTGGCATGCAGGGGGGCGGGGCGGCGTTATCTGGCCCCCTGGCCTGCTGGTGCCTCAGGAGCCAAAATTAGTCCCCAGCCTCGCCAGGCCTTGTATGGGCACGGGCACAGGGCTGCTCCCCCAGCTCCACGGGCTCCTGCAGGGGAGGCCGGGGCGCCCCAGAGCCAGCTGTAGCCACCCCGGCCCGGCAGTGGGGCCACGGTCCTGGGGCGGAGAGGAGGATTCCTTCGAAGACAGTTGTCTGTGTCAGATGTCCTTGTCTCTGGGGCATGGGGGGTGAGGGGGAGGGTCAGCAAACTAAACCCCGCACCAAGATGGAGGAGCATCTGAAGCCCCACAGTGACCACAGAACGTTCAGGGACTTGGGGTGACCACTCTCCAGCCTTAACCCCCGGCTAAGCCATTGAGCCCTGAGCCTGCCAGGCCAAATGGGAGCTTTGGCTCTCCCCATGCCCAGTCCCTCCCTGCCTGTCCCTAACTTTAAAGCCCTCCCCCAGCTCAGGATTAGACTATGCAGCCCCCTCCTCACAACCCCTACCACCCCCTCCACAGCATCTTCAGCCAGCCCGGGGCCTGGCGGGGGCTGGCGGAGAGTGGGAGAAGCAGAATTAAAGGGCAGAAATGGGTGTCTCTGAGCCACCAGAGAGACAGCTCAGAACAAAACGATAGAGACGCTGAGATAGATCCAAAGTCACAAATGCAGAAAGGCGTGGCCGAGACAGCGACACAGACTACAGACCCTCGGAGACAGAGGCAGGCATGATGCTGAAAGATGCGACCTCCTTCCTCCTCTGCCCACTCTCTGATCCCTGAGTCCCTCGCCCCTTCCTCACCCTGAACACCAGACCCAGCCTCCCCTTGAGGGCCTGGGCTGAAAGTATGTAGGTCTTCTCCGGGGTCCCCACCACTTCCCTGGGATGACCTTATTCCCCCCCCCCCCATCCTGAGTGGAGGGACTCCCTCTCGGGCCCACCCGTCCCCGTCCCTCACCGCAGCCTTGTAGATGTCATCCATGCTGTCGGCTCAGAGGGCAGGCTGCTGGGCTTGCCAGGAGGCCCCACGCTTAAATAGCCCTGCCCAGCTGCATTCCGGGCCCAGCCCACTCCTGCGTGTAGCATCCTCCCCCCCTTCCCCCAGTCCTGGTGATCTTAGGCTGGCCTGAGTCCCCGTGTCCTCTGTCCAAGACAGGAGGATGAAGGGCTGAAAAGACCCGGTCTCTTACCCTTTGTTCCCTGGGAGGCTCTCTGGAAAGTTTTCTGGAATGAATGGAAACATGAGCCTAGGACGGGACAGGAACTACAGAGCAGTGGGGCCCAGGCCAGGCCTCTATACACAGCAGCTCAACCTCTCCTCCCAATCAGGGAGGTGGATGATCTGACCCCCACTTTTCAGATGAGGAAACTGAGGCTCCCAGAGGGGGTGATGACTTGCTCAAAGTCTGGCTGACTTGGCAGTCCCAGCCTCAACTTAACTTCTCCGCAGTGGGGGGCAGCCGTGTGCAAGGAGAGGCTGGGAGTAGAGGCCCCAGCTAAAGGAAGCCTCCAGCGCTCAGCTCAGGCCCTGTGCGGGGACCCACCTCAGGGCAGAGTCGTCGGGAGCCCTCCAGCCAGTGCTGCCAGAGGAGCACACCCCACACCGCTGTCCTCATCCGAGCAGCGCTAGCTCGGGGCGTGGTCAGCTGCAGTCACCCAACAAGCACATCTACAGATGCCCATCTCTGCCTGACTGTCCCTTTCCTTCTGCCCCAGCTGTGTTACCACCTCCTCCTCCTAAGTCTGAGCCGTGTCCTGGGTCGGAGCTCCGTCTTTTTGCCTGTGCTTCCCAGGCGGGCACTGCGGTTCCTGGGTCCAGGGCCAGTCTGTCGCCCTTTTAAGCTCTGGTTTTAAGCTCCGGTAGAACCCCCCTGGGGAGTCTTGTGCCCAATGGACAGCACATAGGCCTTCTCTCCGGCTTCACTCCCTCACCCCATACTGAGTTCCCATAATCACAATTTAACCCTCTCGATTCTCCAGGAGCCCATATGACAGAGGATACCGAGTCTTGAAGAGGTTCACAACTGGCCCACAGTTATTGTTCCGGCTCTAAGCCGGGCTCCCATCTTCAACTCCCCCCTCCCCATCCGTTCTCTACAGAGGAGCCCAAGAGCCAGGTGGGGGGCGGGGGGTGATGACTTCTTCCCTTTTAAAAAAAAAAATATATATATATATATATATTTATTTATTTATTATTTTTACAGAAAGGGAGGGAGAGGGATGAGTGAGAAACTTCGATGGCAGAGAAACATCCATGAGCTGCTTCCTGCACACCCCCTATTGGAGATGTGCCCGCAACCAAGGTACATGTCCTTGACAGGAATCGAACCCAGGACCCTTCAGTCTGTAGGTCAACAGAACCTGCCCTGTCCAGGGCGACTTCTTCCCTTTTCCGGAGAGAGAAACTGAGGCCAGGCGAAGCAGTACTTGCTTCGAGCAGCCAGGGAAGTGCTAGGCCTTCTGTCCTCCCCGAAGCCTCCCGCTCGCTCGGGCCTCAGTCTCTCCCGCGCGGAGCAGGCACCGCCGGCGCCGGGGGCCAGGCCCGCGCGGCCTGCGCACGCGCGCTGGGCGTGGCAGCTGTCAATCACACGCGAGGGGCGGGGCGAAGGCGCGGAGAGGCGGCGGGGGGCCAAGATGGCTGCGCGGCGCGCGGCGGGGGCGGGGGCGGGCGCGGGCGGCCGAGGGGGCCGCGGGGCGGTGGGACGCTGACCCCGCCCCCTGCTGCCGCTGCCTGTCTGCACCGGGGCCGCCGCCGAGCCCGGAACATGGCGGCCGCGACGCGCAGCTTCGGGCCGGAGCCAGAGGCCGAGCCGGCCAAGGAGGCGCGCGTCGTGGGCTCCGAGCTCGTGGACACGTACACGGTGCGCTGGGGCGCGGGCCGGGACCCGGGGCCCGAGGCCTGGGGGGTTGGGGAGGAGCTCTGGGCCCCGCGACCCGGGGAGAATGGGGAGGGGCCGGCGACTTGGAGGAGGGGGCCTGGGATAAAAGCGCCCGGGGAAGGGCCCCGCGCCCCGCGGGCCCCGGAGGCGCCCCTGGAAGAGGTTTGGAGAAGGGGGGCGCGTCCAGGGGAGGAGGCTAGGTCCGGGGAGGGGCCAGGGATACAGGGAGGGATGGCGGGGGCATTGGGGTCTGGGTGAGGCAGAGGCGTCTCTAGATCCTCTGGGCCTGGAGGGGCGCCGTCCTGGGGGGAGGGAGGGGGTTTAGGGAAGGGGTGTCACGGGTGGAATTCGGGGAACCCTGCGGGTCTTGGAGAAGGGGAGGGGGCGGAGCCTTGATCTGGGGAGCCAGGGGTCGCAGTTGAGATTTGCTCTCAAGTGAGGACATTTGAGGATTGCGTTTGGGGCCCCAAGGTTCTGGGGGGTCTGGTAGGGACAAGAAAGGGGGGAAGGGAGGGTTGGAGCCCAGACACGGGGGAGCTAAGGGGGTAGCTCAGGGCTGAAAACGCAAGACCCGGGAACCTTAGGGGTCTTCGTAGCTTTGGGAGCAAGTCCCGACCCCACCCCCCTGCACACACGCGCACACGCACGCACACACTTCAAGGCTGTGGGAGAGACGGGGGGGCGGCGGGGGATGATAGAAAATGGGGGGCGTCCCCGGCTATGATGGGGTTGGAGGTGCTCCTGGGTTGGATGTCAGGCCTACGGGCCTGACAAGGCTGCCTGGGGTGAGGGTTCCTGAGCATCTCTCAGCCTCTTGGCCTTTGTTCCCACAGGATGGGGGGCTTCGGCCCCGCCTGGGTCCCATCCCCTTGGCCTTCATCCTAACCCTCCTCCTGAAGGCCATCCCTCTGGCTCTTTCTGCCTTCTTGGGCGGAAGGGAGGGGAAGGATGCTGCCAGGCTGGGAAGAGGGGCTACGGGCAGGTCCTGGAGCCTCAGGCCGGCCCTAGAGAAAAGGCTTCTCTGTAGAGGCTTCAGCTGAGTTAATGAATTTCTCCTCCCCTTCCTACCTCCCCTCCCCTGCTGCAGAGAGGGGCGGGGCACTAGGATTTGGGGTCCTTCTCTAGGTGAGGGTTCAGGTCTCTAAGCCAATGGCTGGCTGGCTTGCCATCATCATCTTGGGTTGCGTTCAGCTGGAGGGTCAGCCCCCAGAAGCTCTCTCTCTCCCGCAGGGCTGAGCCCTCCTTTGAATGGGTGTGGGGAAGGAGGGTGATGGCCCTACCATTTCTGTCTCTAGGTGTGCTGAGTTGATTGTTAGTATACCTGCCTTTTCATTGAACACTTGCTGCAGAGCATTTTCATGCATTACCTTATATTATTTGATTACCTTATTTGATCCTTAAACCTATCAGATTTCAAGATGGAGGAACAGAGGCTCAGTGAAAATTCAACTCTGGGTCACTTACATACGTGACTCATGCATAAGCCACAGCCAGGGAATGGCAGAGCACGTTTTGAACCCTCGTCTTCCTTGACTCCAAGGCCCAGTCCCCTAACCAACTGCTAAGCCATGTTGCCTTCTGTTATGGCTTAATAATTCATCACCACTCTTCCCCCTCAACCCCCACCTCAGCTTCTTAGTGCCTTGACCCTTGGTTCCCAGCAGCAGTCACAGCTGTTAACCAGCTAAAAAGATTGGAAAAGAGCTTGTTTCCAGGATATAGGCAGGGCACGTGGGGGAAAATCCAGTAGGAAAGTTGGCTCTGCCAGACCTGGCCTTGTTCTGCCTCGGAACGGGTGGTTTTACCTGAAGCTCTGGTTGGATTGGAGAATGGAGGCAAAAAACTAAAGGGATGGCTTGGTATGATAGTCTGCTCTGTTCCTCACTGTTGGGTAGAGCCACAGGCTTATCCCATGTGCCAGGTCCAGTGCTAGGACCATGGAGGAGGCTGAGGCTGAGGCTGAGAGGGGGCCCTGCTTTGCAGCCAGAGTCAGGTGCAGCCTAGCTTGTGGGGTGGGAGTGGGGGATGCGGGACGGGGGGATGGGGAGGGAAGAGGGAAGGGGGTATTTGAAAGGGTCTGCAGCTATTGCTGGGGATGAGGCGGGGCTCTCCTGTCACTGACTAGGCAAGGGTTGCCTGCTTCCTCTTTTAGGTTTACATCATTCAGGTCACCGATGGCAACCATGAGTGGACAGTCAAGCACCGCTACAGCGACTTCCATGACCTCCATGAGAAGGTAATGAGAGCTGGGGGCCTGTGTCTCAGAGCTTGGTGGCTTTTAGGCCAAGTTCCCATGGTGCCACAGATTCCTTTTAGGACAAAACATACTCCGTGCCTATAGCATTCTTTAATGCTCAGGAGCCCAGGTATAGAGAACAGTTAGGTTCAGGGTCTCAGGTCTGAATAGGGTTAATAAATAAGTTTACTATTATAATTTAATTGCCAGAAAAACTGGTGGCTCCTGGGAGTTCAACCCTAGCATAAGGCAGTGTGTGAGGAGCGTATTTGAACTTTAGTTTTAAGGTAGCCAGTCCTAGCTTGGATGTGAGATGCCCGAACAGTTTCTTGGGGGAGGGAATAGGTTTTAACTTGCTTGACCTGATTGTAGCTGTTCTATAACCTGTACTTTAAAAATGGCTGTGATTCCACTTCTTCCTTTGCTTTTGGAAAGAGATGTCTTTCTCTTGGTTATTTGTAGTCCGAAGGTTTTAAAGCAGGCCCCAACCCTGATTGTTTTCATTCTTGTTTGGAGAAAATGGTGACTTTAAGAGCCTGGATGTCTCCTTTTCTAAATGTCTCCAAAAGGAGTTCCTGTTTGGGATTATGCTGTATTTGTCATATTCACAAGCTTGATGAGGCCAAGCCCAGGTGCCCTGCTTTGTCACTAATTCTGATACAGCTGCCACGAGGGGCTGGGGAAGTCAAGACAAGCATCTGCCTTCAGGCTGCTAGCCTTGATCTTGCAAAGACCAGAACCTATTGGTCTGTGGTTGACATGCTTATGTTTTTTTACAGCTTGTTGCAGAAAAGAAGATTGATAAAAACCTGCTTCCACCCAAAAAGATAATTGGGAAAAACTCAAGAAGTTTGGTGGAAAAGAGGGAGAAGGATTTGGAGGTCTACCTCCAGACACTCCTGGCCACCTTCCCCGGCGTGGCCCCCAGAGTGCTGGCTCACTTCTTGCATTTTCAGTTCTATGTAAGTTCCTCTCAGGTTTTCTCTTTCCCCTGCAAGCCCACAACCACCTGAGCTCAAGGCAGCACACCTCAGCTTTGAGGAAAGGTGGGCTGGAATTTGATCCTGAAGTTAGAAGATGGAGGACCATCACCCTGGTGAGGATGGGGTGTGGGTAGAGCATGTTCATCGACAGACTTACCTTATGTTAGACAGACTATGACTACAGAGAGATTTTCCTTCCCCACAGGCACTTTGGTTAGCAAAAGCAATCTGTGGGCGTTTAAGCCAGGTTTCTATCCAAATGGATGGGGTAGATTAGAAACAGCTAACACCTGGCATAGACTAGTGTGGAGTTGTTGGCTCACAGTCAAGACTCATTAAGGGATCAGTTTGTGCCGGCAGAATTGCCATCTGGAGGCATTGTCAGGTCAGGTGTGAGGGAGGGTAGGTGGCTTCCTCTGACGGGAGTGTATGTTGTGGAGCAGCTCTGCACCCCCTTCTGGCCACTGGTGACAAGATGGGCTTCAAGGAAGGAGGTTTGGCAGTGAAATCAAAACATTAAAAACAACTAACAGTTTCACTTTTTATTTTTTATTGATTTGAGAGGGAGGGAGAGTGAGCTAGAGTAACACCCATCTGTTGCTGCACTTATTTGATTCTTTTTTTTTTTTTTTTTTTTTTTTTAAATCAATCTTTATTGTTCATATTATTACAAAGGTTCCTCATTTCTTCCCCCCTCCACCAGGTTCCCACCCCACCCTCTGTCCCCCCCCCCCATCCCCCATTGTCCTCATCCATAGGTGCAGTTTATGTTCATTCTCTTCTTCCCTCAATTTCCCCAATAGTAAATCCCTTTTCAGATAGTAAATCAGTTACTTAGCATTTTCTCATATCAATAATACCTCCACATGCCCAATGATACACTTCACACAAAAGACATTTCCCACTAGGTCAACCAGCCTCATCCAGGCCCCACCCAAGGCACTCACAGATCATCACCCCAGTCCTAAACTAACTCAACACATCCAGATCTAAGCCTTCATCACTTGATTCAGCAGACCCTCAAGTTCCCACGAAAGTTTCCAGCCATGTCTGAGAAGCAGCCGTGGGGCAGGGGCAGGCAAGGAGCGAGCTGTTCTGGGCCTGGCTGCTCAGGGCCTGGCCTCTGTTGCTCTGGTTCATTCCACAACCAGCTGCTCCGGGTCTGGTCACTGCCGCTCCCGACCTAGTTGCTCTGGACTTGGCTGCTGCTGCTCTGGGCCTGGCCGCTCCCAGCCTGGCCGCCGCTGCTCCGGGCCTGGCTGCACCCAACCCGCCTGCTCCCCCGGGCCTGGCCGCTCCCAGCCTGGCAGCCGCTGCTCCGGGCCTGGCCGCACCAGCCCCGCCTGCTCCCCCGGGCCTGGCCGCTCCCAGCTGGCAGCCGCTGCTCCGGGCCTGGCCGCACCCGACCCGCCTGCTCCCCCGGGCCTGGCCGCTCCCAGCCTGGCAGCCGCTGCTCCGGGCCTGGCCGCACCCGACCCGCCTGCTCCCCCGGGCCTGGCCTCTCCCAGCCTGGCAGCCGCTGCTCCGGGCCTGGCCGCACCCAACCCGCCTGCTCCCCCGGGCCTGGCCGCTCCCAGCCTGGCAGCCGCTGCTCCGGGCCTGGCCGCACCCGACCCGCCTGCTCCCCCGGGCCTGGCCGCTCCCAGCCTGGCAGCCGCTGCTCCGGGCCTGGCCGCACCCGACCCGGCTGCTCCCCCGGGCCTGGCCGCTCCCAGCCTGGCAGCCGCTGCTCCGGGCCTGGCCGCACCCGACCCGACTGCTCCCCTGGGCCTGGCCCCTCCCAGCCTGGCAGCTGCTGCTCCGGGCCTGGCCGCACCTGACCCGGCTGCTCTGGGCCCGGCTGCCCCGGGCCCGGCCGCTCCGAGCCTGGATGCTCTGGGCTTGGCTACTGCTGTTCTGGGTCTGGCTGCTCCCACCCCGGCTGCTCTGGGCCCGGCTTCTTCGGGCCCGGCCACTCCGGGTCTGGGTGTTCCTGGACTGGCCACCCTGGGCTTGGCCGCCTCCGCCTCATGCCTGGCTGCCACTGCCCCAGGTCTGGCTACTCCAGTGCTGGCTGTTGATGCTCTGGTTCTGGCTGCTGTTGTTCTGGGGCCTGGTCGTTGCTGCTCCGGGTCTGGCTGCCACTGCCTTGTGCCTGGCCACTCTAGGCCTGGCCGTCGCTGTTCCAACATTTTGTCCTTTTTTTTTCTTTTTAAAACGCATTTATGTTGCAATGTTGGCTGGTGAGTTGAGTTCTGACTTAGTCTTTGATTTTTCAAGATCTTCTTTGTATTCTTTCTTAAGTAATTTTACTATTTTTTGCTCTCACTTGATTTCTTCACATTGAGAACTTCTTTGGTTTCTTCCTCCTTGTCCTGGGAGCTCAGCAGGTTGGCCTGTGGCACCCCTTTGTTCTCCGCGGGCTCCTGTGCTGCTTCAGCCTGTTGCCAGGGACGGCGCCGCCCAGGAAGCAGCCCCCGGCCTTGGCTCCATTGCCCGAGCTCAGTGGTCAAAGGCTCAGGGGCACCCACGCCCTCAGGGGCCCCGTGGCCCGCCTCCTTGCTGGTGCCCGGTTGGCTGGAGTCCGGCAGGGGCTTCCGCTCCCCTCCGCGTTCCCCCAGCCTAGAGCTTTTTTTTTCCCTCCTTCCCGCTAGGGAAGTCCAGCATCAGTGTCAACAGACTGTCCTCTGCGCACAGTTTGCGCGAGTCCCGGGGGCCCGGCCTTTCGCTGCTCTCCCCGGACTCCACCTCACAGCCCCGTCTCCCTCTGCCTGAGTCTGGGTCCCCAGGGATTGGCCCAGAACTGGGGTTCGGAGCAGTCGGGACTGAGGCTCAGCGCCACCGGAGGCCTTGTTTCTTCCGGCTAGGGTAACCCAGCATCAGAGACAACATTCAGTCCTCTGCGCGCATTGCGCGCGACTCCCGGGGCCCTGCCTTTCGCCGTTTTTCCGCCTCACGGCCCTGTCTCCTCCCGCCGGAGCCTGGGTCCCCAGGGTCTGGCCCATAGCTAGGGCTCAGCGCTGCCGGTTCGGGGGGGCTCAGCGCTGCCGGTTCGGGGGTTCAGCCCAGGCTGGGGGTTTTATTCCCTTCCTGCTAGGGAAGGAAAGGCGGCTCCCCGCCCTCTCCTCCTCTCCGGCTGCGACCTCTCCGTGCGCGCGTGCGGGCGGGCAGGTGCGCGCAGCATGTCTCCGTACCTTAGGCTTTTTTTCAGCTCCTCTGATTTTCTTTCTGGTTTTCTCTTTCCTTCTTGTTGTAGAAATTTCAGTCAGTCGACTACCTGTAGCTCTGGGCAATGTCCACTCTACATTTTAGTTGTATTCCATTGAAATTGTTGTGTGCTGCCGCGGCTAGATGTCTACCTGAGCAGCCATCTTGGATCCTCTCCTTATTTGATTCTTATATGTGCCCTGACTGGGGATTGAACCCATGTCAAGGACACCAGTCTAACCAACTGAGCTACTGGCCAGAGCACAATTCCACTTCTTAGAATTTATTCTAAGGAAAAAATTGGGAAACTTTGGAAAGGGATAAAGGTAGTCATTCCAGGATTATAGCAAGATACTGAAAACAGAAGTCCCACAGGAGGTAATTTTTTTTTTTTTTTTTTAATCAAGAGTACAACCAGATAATTGGATATTCTGCTAGAACCGTGGTTGGCAAACTGTGGCTCTCCAACCACATGTGGCTCTTTGGCCCGTTGAGTGTGGTTCTTCCACAAAATACCTCGCCCTGGCGAGTCTATGTTGAAGTGGTGTTAGAAGAAGTTTAAGTTTAAAAACTTTGGCTCTCCAAAGAAATTTCAATCGTTGTACTGTTGATATTTGGCTCTGTTGACTAATGAGTTTGCCGACTGCTGTGCTAGAAAAATGATGGTGTGGCTATGGATTTATTGACATAGGAAAATAAGTATTATTATATGAAAAGAGCAGGCTATAAAAAAGTATGTAGAGCCAAAACCGGTTTGGCTCAGCGGTAGAGCATCGGTCTGTGGACTGAAGGGTCCCGGGTTCAATTCCGGTCAGAGGCACGTGTGTTGGTTGCGGGCACATCCCCAGTATAGGGGGTATGCAAGAGGCAGCTGATCGATGATTCTCTCTCATCGATGTTTCTAACTCTCTATTCCTCTCTGTAAAAAATCAATTAAAAAATATATTTTAAAAAAAGAGTTTTGTGAATATATTTGTGTAGGAAAACTCTAGAAGTTATACACCAAAATAATAATATTAGATATCTCTGGGTGGTAGATTTTTGAAAAATTTACATTTAATAGTTTTCCCTTTCAGGCTCACCTTTTAAGAAGGGACTTAGGGGCTGTTGTCTTAAAGGCCCAAATTGTTTAAAAAAACAATTTTTCCTGAAGTGTTTTCAGAGTAAGATGGCTGAGCTTGTCTTGAGTGCTAGATTGAGCCTGGACATTGGTCATAGCACTAGTGCTGGCCACGAAGCTTGAAGGGCCCACCTGGGAAAGGATGGCAGTTACAGATGGGAGGTGCATTTATGCTTTGATTTTGTTTAGCGTATACCAGCAATGGATGTGGTCAGCTGTTTCCTGGTGTAGGTATCTTTATACGTTTTCTTTCCTTATGTGAGAAAAAATTCATGACTCTTTCAGACAAACTTAACTGGTTATTATTTTAAGAAATACTGCATTTATGAAAGCTTTGAATAGCTATTTAAGGATAAAACTTGCTAGTAGCCCTTTGAAAGTGTGACTCATTGCTTTAAGACGTGGGTCTTTGAGGAGGTAGTTTCTCGGGCTGCCCTAGGTTTTCTCACCTCTGAGCACGGGAAGGCCTTCACTACTCTTCGGAGATATGTTTGCCTGAGGTGGGCTGGGTCTGCCCACATGTGTGCTGGTTTGAGTCATGCTCTGATGCTGGAGTAGTATGGACATATTTAAAATTACTGTTATCAGACAGGCCCCCTGGGTTATAATTCCATGGTGTTATTACATCAGAGTTTCTCAACCTCGTGGCATTTAGGGCTGGATAATTATTGTG